CGCACAAGAAGAAAAGAGGGCACTGTCTTAAGGGGAACACTTCCAAGAGGCTCTATTGCACTCATATTACCACAATGATAACAGACACCAGTGGTCGTCGCGGACATGTGTGTGATGCTGGTCATGTCCTTTTGACTCAGTTCATATAGAAGCTTTGAACCTTACTATCGTATCGTACATTAAGGATAGTTTGCGGTAGCGCCTAACAAGGAGCAAGGGTCTTGGAAGATTGTGAATGAGAATAGGGAACAGAGAAGTTTTTAAGGTCAAGAAAGGCTAGGAAATGATCTACGATTTCTATGAATGGATAGTAAAACAGGAAGTCATAACGTTAACTTTTATTTGCTGCTTATTACGATTTTTCACGACAGGGTATAACGGAAATTATAACCATAATGATGCCGAGATATTTGCAAAACTTCGGACTTCAAGTGTCTGCGTTAGGGATCGAAAACGCCATTACCTTATTCGGGCGCTAACGTGTTGGTCACCACACCATGCTGGCCTTTCGTTTTGCTTGTTTCTCAGCTAGTTTTCTTTCTTTTCTGTACTTCTAAAGCACCGGTAGATATCTTTTTTTATTTCTATGACAATGGTAGATAGAAAAGTACTTGAGAGACAAGAGAAACGAAGAACAAGCATGGTGGGTGGTGAAAACGCGTTAGGAACCGGAAAGGGTAATAGCGTGTTCCATCCTAATTGCAGACACCTGTGGTCAGGAATTTTGCAAATATCTCAGCATCATTATGGTTGTATTTCACAAAATAAAAAAATGAGAGGACTGAGCTCGTATTTTATATGCTCTTATAGGCAGAAAAACGATTCCGATGCCAGTAAAACCAGAAAGCGACAAGGAACCGGTACAGCATGCAACTTACTTCGTGAGAACAAACTTCTCCCTCCCACTCCCGCCCTCCCCCCCCCCAAAAAAAAAACCTCTACGTATTCGTAAAATGAATTAGGTGATGATTTCGAGTATAAAGAAACAAGTTATCCCTTTTTTTGCTTCGAATACAATGACATCTTAATATCAAAAAAGCCAAAACTGTCAGTTGATCTAAATTCCGTCGCCCTCCTTCCACAAATTTGAGCAGTACATGTTGGTGAGTTGAGTTTGTATTACCGGCAGTCAGATAACGTATAAGTTTCAGAGCGTAGTGTTAAAAAACAACTCATCAAGAGAACCGAGAACGGATAAGAACCGAAAAGATTAGCAAAACCTTCCATAAATACACCGAATTCCCACCAACTTTGCGAACAACCTGCCGTCAACTAGAGAAGCCTACCTGCGACTTCTCTCTTGATCCTTCTGATAGACGGCATCAGCGACTAGTCTGCTCCTTTTAAGAAACTGAATTGGCGATTTATTCGGTTCTGTATCGTGAAGTTCGACAAGCATCTCATTACTGAGAAAGTTTTGGGCGATTGCTTTAGAAGGTGCACCGTCAGTGGACCTCCAATCACCAGTTTTGCTCCATATGATATTCAGACTTTCTCACGAAAACCTTGAATTTGAGAGTAGTATTTATCAGATGAAGCCAGACCATTCAGCAATCACAACGCTCTAGAACGGTGGGATTTCAGATGAAATAAGTGGAATTGTCGTACTCTATTTTTCCGACATACTGTGATGTTTTGCCGAATTCTTGTTGACAAACAGGAGTAACGGGTGTTAAGTTCGGTAATGGATACAGATAAACTTCCAGTATACTTCTTTGTTGGATTCCAGTTACAAAGATAAGGATAGAGACAACGTACAAAACTCTCGGCNCAGATGAAGCCAGACCATTCAGCAATCACAACGCTCTAGAACGGTGGGATTTCAGATGAAATAAGTGGAATTGTCGTACTCTATTTTTCCGACATACTGTGATGTTTTGCCGAATTCTTGTTAACAAACAGGAGTAACGGGTGTTAAGTTCGGTAATGGATACAGACAAACTTCCAGTATACTTCTTTGTTGGATTCCAGTTACAAAGATAAGGATAGAGACAACGTACAAAACTCTCGGCGTTGATCGATCCCTGAGGGATGCGCCATTCATTCGACTTCATTAAGCATCGTTTGGGTGATTGAATGATCTTTGGCCTTATTATAAAGGACTATCTGCCCTTTATAATGACTCGCGGTACCCTAACGATCTGTCGAGTCAGTGATTCCTATGCTAGGATAGTGACTTCTAGTTCAAAATCTTCTCTGTTATGTTTTTGCGTTGTATGAGCGCCTAGGGCGCGTGTGGTTGGAAGCGCCACTGCGACACCCACAAGGAATCGATCCCTGGGCCCATGACCCACCAAGTCTTCCATTCCTCCTGGGTCGGCAAATTGGTACCAGAACTGTCTGGGTGGACTCCATGTAGATGACATCCTGCATAAGCAGCACTGGCTCGATACATCGGTAGGCCACCGCGAGTCATTGTCAAGGCCAGATATGCATCCAATCGCCCCCAACGATACTTAATGAAGTCGATTGCATAGCACATCCTTCAGGGATTGATCAACGTCGAGAGATTTATCTTTTATTTTTATTCTACTGATACTGACCTACGGTGGAAAACCGAACAAAGCATGGCGTCTGCTTGCCAATACTGCTGAATACCTCCGCTTTGCAGTACTTACTGATGTTGTGAGTGACCTCGAAGTAACCATGAGCACCTGAAATGAGCAGCAGAAGTAAATGAAAGGCGATAGCAGACCAAATACAGCTAGTGAGATAGTGAATTATTGTGAGCCCTTACCTGCTCCCTTGGCATGGACAACTCTCTCAGGTATTCGTTCGCGATCGAAGTGAGCCATTTCGTCCATGTAGATGACATCCTGCATAAGCATTGGTCCCCTGAACACTTCAAGTGTATCAAACATTGCCAAAAACGTGCAAATAACAAATCCTTTGGTTTCTCCCTGCAAACGTTTGCAAGAATGCTAGGTATTTTGCTTCACCTTGGTCCAACTGTAAGCGAGTTAGTCTTGTTGAAAATCGGTGCTCCAGTGGACGTGGTGAGCACTACTGTCCTCTAGAAAGCTCATTTGTGAACACAGTCAAGTTCGTGCTAGACTTCGATTTACCGGTGTTGCCTTCTTGAACTGCTCGAGTTGTTCATCGCTTGGATCGGTGACCTTGGTCATTTTCGAAGAGATGATGCTGTGCGAAATTTACCGTTTCTGCAAGTAACACAAAGACAAGTGAGAGCAATGCAAAAGAATTAAACCAGAGCACTTCACTTCAAGTACACTGAGATAGAAACATTTACAGTGAAACGACCTTTTTACAGTGCATGTTTAAATTGCAATGCAAAGGGAAAGAGATAGAGAGAAAATAAGAAAAAGGCGATCACAGATGACAATGAGGTGGCTCTACGTGGAATCTTCGTGTTGCTTTCTGGATTTTTACAGAATGAGTGTCCACTACAAAAAAGCCTTTGAACGAAACTCTTAGAGGGACGTTTAGCCAGTAAGGCCAGTTGTGTATGCTCGATAACGTAGTACTGATTGAATGATAAGGCAACAGCAACTACATTACAACGGGACGCGTCTTCAGCGTTATTCCAGATTCCACGTAGGACACTCTTTGCAGCCTTACGAATACTTTCTTCTGTTCCTTACTATCACCTAAAAAAGAAACTCCTCACACTTCTTAAAAATAAAGTGCTAAGATGCCTGGATAGAATTTCGAATTCCGCAAATGGGCAGCGGTTGTTTGTCTTAGGATGATGGACAGCTTACATATATACGTGCTAAACGATGTCACCAAAATTTTGCATATGTAACCAACTGCATATAACGGGTAACGCAACGATAGCGGTGCCTTTAAGTATGCACAAGTGTCTCGGTCGATCCGCTCTAGGTCGAAAAGACCCCAGCTTTCTGCTTTTGGGAAACTGGCGCTGGGAAATGAATTACATTCACCAAGGAGGTCAAGTAAAAACCCATAAACAGTAACCGAACCTACACGTGAACATCCTAAGTCGTTCGATGGATACAAAAAAACGTATCGATTGAGAGAAGCGCTGAGATCAGCACAATACATGTAGCCGGGTTATGTAATTATTATAATTATTATGTAAGATAAGTAAAAAAACAAAGAAAGGATGAAAAACTCAGCTGGACGGGGAAATTGTTTTAATGATAAATCTTTATATATTCCCATTCATACCTTGGACAATCGTTGAGAACATTCAGCCGCTATCATGTGAAATTCTACTGTCTTCCATATAAGGTAGGTTGAAAAATGAAACACGAAGCACTTTTTACGAGAATTTCATCAAAAACGAGAGCATGACACGGTTGCCACGTGAAGTCAAGAAAACCCTTCTTACATTATGAGCATGCAATGTAGGCAGTGAGAGTTTTTTCAGAATGGAAAACTTCGGAGAGTGGCGCATGAGCTTTTCCTAGCTGGGACTTCATGACAGAACCTCGTCAAATAATTGTAAAATGTAGTAAAGAAGGCGAAGTAAGAGGTGGAGCCCTGCTGATTACTTTCCTCCGATATAGGAACATTCCAAAAATAGGATTATGGTACTGATGGCAGGAAACTTGAATATTTACAAACCAACAGCGAGTACTTTCTTTCACTTTGTAGTCAGACATATTTACTTTTCGACGCGAGAAGAAACGACAAACAAATCAAGGAAAAACCAGGAACTGACACAAAGCCACGCCTAACAGCATGCGGCGGAACCGTACGTGATGACAAAAGAAGGCACCTGGGGAGACCGTCACCTGACGGAAACACATGCTCTTGACGAGTGCGAAGAGGGTTATCGCGGCCGTAGCAGTCACTCCACCTGACAACCTTCTTTAGCGAGCGGAAAGGTAAAGGCCGAATCGATACGATGGTGTCAGGATGGCGACGGTGCTGCCCATTCTACACAAAAAGTGCTGAAGACAAGCCACGGTAGCACCTAAGCCAACGGCCAATGTCGCCACATTCACCGGCTACCGGGGACTATTATGAGAATGACGACGGCTTTTCCATAACCATTGGCCACGACGATAAAAAACAACTTATGAGTTTCTTGATAATTAGGATTTCCTCATTACAGGCAAACCGTGGGCTTGTTCACAGAGGTTTTTTTATTATAACAGTTTCTATTTCAATTAGTGGCAATCCCTGTGAGCTTAGATGCCTGCGTCCGAAATTAGAGCGCCAAACCAGTTCCGCCCACATGAGACTTTCAAATGGGTTGCAATGTCATCATTTATTCGACGAACGCGGTGATAATTACATTTTTTCGCGTGATATTCTCTACTTTTTAATTCGCAATCATACCGGTTTTTCGTCGGTCGAAAGAAATTTCTTAGCGGTTACAGTACTTCACAGTTGAGAAATTCACAGATTTACATAACAGGATTATAGAGAATACTCGGTTACTTGGATGGCCCGTCCTCACTGGTTGTGCGCGTTGCAGCATAATCTCCTCTTTCTTGGAGTTTGGAGTTTTGCTGGTATAGTCACTGTGGTTTCCTGGGGTCACCAGGTCAGCCAAGCCAAAGTCTGCCCCATGTCATCACTACCACAGGAAGTCGCAGCCCTTGTGGCTCAGAGGGCGATTTGCCACCATGCGACTTTGATACCAGGACGGTGGCGGATCCTGCTATTGGTGTGGGTCTACTGGTAGCTAGGGTTCCGGATGGAAACGCCAGACTCCTTCTCAGCTTGGGAAACCTTGCCGGAGGGATGAATCCACCGCTGTGCATTGCAGTCCGACATCGAGGTACACCTCTCAGTCACGATGAGGCGGCTAACCGTTGAGGGGAATATAGAGAATAAGGGATTCAAAACGAGATTTTTTTCCTAAAATTTCTGGGCTAGGTGGTGCAGACGCACATGCTAATTATGCATTGCGAAACACAATCGTGCTCTGTTGGATGAAATCCAACTTGTTTAGTGGTCTTCTAATACGAAATAGGAGGTTCGACGATAAAACGGAGAAAAAGGGTTCTATGCGGCCAAAAGTGAGAATTTCATCTTTTTGTTAGAAATGATTTGCGGACTCTAATGGTTTCCATTTCTGTCAGTGAAGTGTCAATTAAGAGATGAGATATGTTGGCTTAAACTTGGAGACGGCCACTATTCATGCACAAGATGCGTCGTACCCAATGCAGTTCGAGTACTTTGGGTTAAATGATTTTGGCCTATTCACAGGAGCTCTTTGTACGCCATAGAAATATTTTATGACAGCAGCTCATTGCGGTGCAAACGTGCAAGATAGTCGTCAAAGACTACTCTGTAGCGCATCTCACGGCGAATCCGCGTAAAGGATGCAGTTTTGCATGCATGCAAGCAAACAGGCCAAGAAACTTTTCGTAAACAGAAAATTTAAGTCAATTTGGTCTAAGAAAGGCAACGAGTTTTCTCCCAAACTCATTTTGCTGTCCGTTTACCCGCTAGCTACTTATGGTTCACAAAACGTCGTAACCTACCGGCTGAGAACCTTGTGACCGTTGAAAGTAGAAGAAATGAAGTAGCAAATGATCCACTAGTCGTCGTACTACACACTCTGTGGTAATCTCTGTGATAGTCTGATGATAAGAGCCTTCAACCAGCCAAAACAAAACAAAGCTGAAGTACCTCATTCGTCTTTCATCTCAACTGCTACAAGCTCACGAAGTACGTTTCTCATAATTAGACAAACCAATAGAAATTAAATTTATCACAGTGATAGAATATGAAAGAATGAAAATGCAAAAAAATCAACGGATTTTCCTCTTTGATCGTCACGATCGATTTGGAGAATTTGGAAAATTCTGAAAGAATTCTAGTTCTAGTCAGACAGCGGAAAATCTGCTCCTGATCAACAGAGACCCTTTGAATACCTGTGTTCAACTCCTTTGAACGACATCGCCAGATAGCAGAGCTAGAACGTTGAGGTTGTGAGTAAAGGATATGTCAAGTCAGTAAGGGTCAAGAAAAGACACACACCAATCAGATCACCTTCACCAATGGCAGTTGCAAAAAAACGAAACAGATTGAAAAGCGTTGGGGCCTACGCAACATGTGAGGATAGCCATCGAAATACCTAAGAAATATTTTAGGAAAGCAGTAGTAGTGAGATATCTCTTTAAGACCTCAATGAAAGCAGAAAAATGAGAGAGCGATCTTATTGAACGGAACAAGGTCTTTTTGTGTCCTTGGATCGATTTCCATTGATAGATATAGATCANCAGATTGAAAAGCGTTGGGGCCTACGCAACATGTGAGGATAGCCATCGAAATACCTAAGAAATATTTTAGGCAAGCAGTAGTAGTGAGATATCTCTTTAAGAGCTCAAGGAAAGCAGAAAAATGAGAGAGCGATCTTATTGAACGGAACAAGGTCTTTTTGTGTCCTTGGATCGATTTCCATTGATAGATATAGATCAACCAGCTGATCAAGCACAGTTCTTGAACAAGACGCAGGACTAGGAATGGGCTTCTGGACTTCATGGATCGCGTTCAGCAGCCAGAATAACGGTATACTGTGGTCGTTATCTAAACGGGAATGGGCTTAGGTAGAAGAGAAAGAGCTTAGTAGCCGTTTCTGACTTTTTAAGAACTCTTAAGATAAATGCTCAATTTGCAATATTTGAAACCAAACTAGTAC